GAAGAAATACTTAACTTCAGCTTAATGCATTCTAAATAAAGAAAAAAGTTAATACATTAACCATAGTTAAAACTTGATCTACCTTAAGAAAATTACAGATTGGGAGAATCACCTACTTGCAGTGTGATTCAGTCACTATTTCTTTCGTGAGCAATCAGAGAAAAGGATTTTGAACCTGGTCCCAATAAAATGCTCATTAAGTGAAAAGCATTAAAATGTTAATCTGAAGAGATTTCATTTAGGGCTTCAAATTACTTACCCTGAAAGTTGTTTATTTAGATGAGGTCAGATTTTAGTTCACCATCTTTCTCTCTTTTGACTAATAAGGTTAATTGTCAGCAGACTTCTTCCTAAAGTACAAGACCTCACTGGGATTGCCTGCCAAGTATTGGCAGGAACTACTTAGCATGTAAGTCTCCAGGCAAGACTTCCCAAATTTCAGGATAAGTTTAGGAGGAGTTTTAGATGCTAAAGTTACATTCATCTAAAACACTGCAGCTCCCAACTAAAAATCTTAATTACAATGTCTGAATTGTCATGAATAGTCTCCTAAACCAAGACTCCTTTACTGTGCTACAGTTCACCTAGCAGCCCTGCACTGGCCCCTCAAAGCACTTCTTTGTGAACCACTAGATCTGTGGAAGTAACTTAAGCAACAATTACACCAACAAGTGGAATCTCAAAGGTGAAGCAATAGGTATATATTTTAGCAAAGCAATGACACAACTCTCCTAAAGAGAGGAAAACATATAGGGCCCTGTTTGGTGGTGTTCCAATAAAAACAGCAGTTTCTAAGCAGCTGCATTTTAAGAATCTCACTGAAGGATCAAACAGGAAGAGAGAGGCAAATTGTTTAAACACAAATAACTCTGACAGTTAAAAAAACTAGCTTAACTAAGCCAAGAAAGACAAGTGAAAAGCAAAAAGACTGACACTTGAGAAAATTTAGGCCTCCAAATGTGTCAAAGTACTTTTAACTTTCACTGTCACAATCTAAGTATTCTTAGAACAGAAAGGTCTATAGCCTTCCTGCTGCCTTTTCACCTGCTGGGGAGACACTACGTTAGGGTAGTCATTAGATGCACTGCATTCCAGATCTCAAAGACATAATTTGGAGCTATCATCAACTGGCAAACTAGTCTGGAAGGCCTCAGAGCTGTTTGGTGTTTGAAGACTTCACATGCAACCCAAGCCCTTCCCATGGCTATCAAAGAACATACTACAGAAGAGGCGGCTAAGAGTTTGTTCACTCTGCCTTAGAAATCCTTTTCAGATGTGGGATCAGCACAAATACCTTTTATAAACAGCAGAAGCAAATGCTGCACAACATCAGAATTTTACTGCTAAGCCTTTATATCTCTATCCTTGATAATCAACTTGGTGTTAAATATCCCACAGTATTCCTGGGGAGCCACAGGTCAGATTTTCTGACACAGGGTTCTTGTTTTCTAACCACAGAAAGTAGTGTCATAGGTATGTAACACAAGCTATTAGAGAAAAGCAAAAGAGCCTGAGGCAGCACTCATTATCATTGGTTTAGTGGCATACAGACTTCCAACTCATACTATTTTTTGTCGTCTGCTAAGAGAATACTGACTGAGAAAAGAAAATTCCCTGGACTACCCTCATCAAAAGCCATCAAGTTCTCCCTACCAAGGAAAGAAAAACATCTTTCAAGGTTAAGGTAACATCTTAACTTTTACAGAAAAGAAAAATGAAGATGTTCTTAGGAAACACTCTAAGAAAGGCTCAAAATGCTAAATCTAAAAAAAGCACTATAGCAATTCCTCAAAAAATAAAAATAAACACAGAATTACCATATGACACAGCAATTCCTCTTCTGGGGATATGTCCCCAAAAAGTGAAAGTGGGGTCTTAAACAGGTATTTGTATACCCATGTTCATAGCAGCATTATTTATAATAATCAAAAAGTAGAAGCAACTCAAGTGTCCATCAACAGATGAATGGATAAGCAAAATTTGGTATAACAGGTAGAGGAATATTATTCAGCCTAAAAAGGAAGGAAATTATGACACATGCTACAACAGAAATGAACCTTAAGACACAAGTGAAATAACCAGTAGTTTACAGTTCACTAGCTTTCATATGCATTACATTATATAATTCTCACAACCATTACCCTGTGATATAATTGATATCACTATCCACCCACTTTATAAATGGTAGATAGAGGCCCACAGAAGCTAAGTAACTTGCTCAAGGTCACACAGTAAGTGGTAGAGACAAACGAAAAAAATATAGTTTTTCCAACTCAAATTTCCATATTCCTTTCAATACATCCTGGTGAGTTTTCAGTTTACCCCTCCATGTTAGTATTCAATGCAACTTTATAGAAGGAGGCATTATGGTTTAGAAGAAAGAGCAGCCCTGAAGTTGGACTTAGAAGACCTATGATTAGGTCAGGCACAGTGGCTCACACCTGTAATCCCAGAACTTTGGGAGGCCAAGGTGGGTGGATCACTTGGGCTCAGGAGTTTGAGACCAGCTTTAGCAACATAGCGAAACCCCATCTCTACAAAAAATACAAAAACTAGCCAGGTGTGTTGGCACGTGCCTGTAGTCCCAGCTACTTGAGAGGCTGAGGTGAGAAGATTGCTTGAGCCCGGGAGGCAGAGGTTGCAGTGAGCAGAAATCGTGCCACTGCACTCTAGCCTGGGCAACAGAGTCACAGACCCTGTCCCAAAGAAAAAAAGAAGACCTATTATTAATTGTCAGCTTTGCCAAGGAACAAATATGGGGCCTTCCACAATATACAACATCTTTAAGACTCAGTTTCATCACTAGGTAAAAGTATATTTTAAAAAGTACATAATACACCCGATAGAGTTTGAAGATTAAAGAAGATTGTATAAGAAAGAGCAGCACAAAGTCTGGCATTTAATAAGTGAGAATAGATGTCAGAAAAAAAAAAAAGTACACTTTTGAAGGCTTAATACCAGTTGTATTTTTCCCTGATCTGGCCTTACTGTGATTGACATTAAACACTTCTTTCCAATAATCTCTTGAGAAAATTAATTTTTTTTGAGACAGGATCTCAAAGTGGCATGATCCTGGCTCACTACAGCTTCCACCTGACCTCCTAGGCTCAAATGATCCTCCCACCTCAGGATCCTGAGTAGCTGGGACTAGAGGCATGTGCCACCATGCCCAGCTAATTATCTTTTTTTTTAGAGACAGGGTCTCACTATGTTGGCCAGGCTGGTTTTGAACTCCTGTGCTCAAGTGATCCTCCCACCTCTATCTCCCAAAGGGCCAGGATTACAGGCGTGAGCCACCGAGCCTGCCTGTGACTGGATCTTTTTGCTACTTTATGTGTATACAAGTCCAATTATTAGCAACAGTAAAAATGATGTGATTATTGCCACAAGTTCATCAGAGAAATTTAAGGAATGAAAATGAAGGTATAGGCCTGACAGTCATGCAGACAGAAGAAAGAGGTTACATGGTAACAAGGCTTAGCCCAGTCCCTTCTTAGCTGTCAGAAAAAGGAGAGGTCAAAAGCTTAAATCAGCTGTTTGATGGACCCTGGGAAGAACAGGAACAACAGCCAAGCCAAAAACCACAAAAAGGAAAAGCAACAAAGTAGAAGATAAAGCAAGCATAAAGGAATGTGATCAAGGAAACAGGCCCCAGATGAAAAGGAGCTGCATGGAAAGCCTACGTAAATACATGAATAAGTCAACACAACATAAATTATGTCCATATGCACTTCATACCCTACTCTAGAACCTGGTGCTTCATTCAAACACCCACATTTGTCATACTGCCCTTGGGTCATAAAGGGGTATTTGGGAGCAGGTAGTTTGCTATTCCTGATTCTTCCAGAAAATCACATTTATTATAAGGCCTCATCACAGTAGCTAGATTATTTGCTAGATGCAGAGATGCATTTATTTGTGAGATTTATAAAATTGTGTTTGATGCAAAATGACTCTGGAGACAGGGAGGGCAAACCAACCTTCATTGCAATCTTGTTAGCATATCTCCTCCCATGCTTCCTCATCCCAGCCCTCCTAACATACACATTTCACATTTCTCCTTTTATGCCCAGATGTGACAAACAGTGTAGTAAAGCACTGCAGGAACAGACCATTTTACCTTTAAATACAAAGAAAGAAAGACATAGAAAAAAAAAAATCACAGCCCAGCTTTGTCACACATTAGAATCTATACCAATTTGTAAATGTGCATTACTACTACTAGGAATGTCTGGCAAGGCTTACATCTGGAGCTAAATCAAGTTCCCCATCTGTTGAGTTTGCCTCTTTTACTCAATGTTAATTTTCCAATTGTTTATAAGAACAATGTAATAACTGTAGAGAAAATGAAAAATCATAGGCACAAAGGGAGCAAGAAACAGAAGAAAAGTCAGATATAGGTTTCCCAATGGCGAAAGCACTTTCTCCTCTCATTAAACAACAACTCATACCTATGTATGGGTGGTGCCTCCTCAAGACCCTGACCAACTCCATGCCTGACACAACTTTATCCAATACATACGGCACTCTGTAATTGCCTTGCTGTTTCATAAGCAACCTAAAATGACTTAGCCCCATAGACTTCTATTTGCCTCTGTTTACCGCAAATATAAATAGTCACGTAAAGTAAAAGGTCAGTGTTCTAGATAACCATGAGTCATTCACTGAAGTCATGGAGAAAAGCTGAAAATTTTTGGAGAAAAGCTTTCAGACGACCTATACACAGAGTACACTCTGGCAACTAGCATGCCTGAAAAGGGCTTGTAACCATCTCTCGGCAAAAAAAATTCACAGAACCACCAGCACTTTGAGCTGTTTCAGTATGACAAAATAAAAGCCTGGTGTACTGCTTTTCTTGATCAAGTACGACAATTTTTCTTCCACTCCTACAGACATCAAGGCTTAAAATAGTAGAGTGTTCAACACACTCTACATAGAAAGGTACAATAAAACTGAGGAAGAGCCAAGGAACTCTGCAAGAGATACTTCTCATTCCTTACCTGATATTAACCAACGCATGGGTCACCTTGCTAGCTGCTTCTTTCCACTGGCCTGCATTGGTAGAAAGCCTCAGGACTGCAAAGAAGGAAAGAACACAGATCTGTCAAACCCCCAGGATAAAACACAAACATGAGGAATGAAGACACATCTCAGAATAGCACTCTCAGAATAACCAAACAAAGCCTGTGCCAATCTTCTGTTAAAAACATCCTCAGCTTAGATAAAAATATAAGGGTTTATAGAATTCTCTCAACTATTTTCACTCAAGTTTTTTCTCTAACTTCTTTTCACTTTCTATCAAAATACTCTACTCGTTCTCTGCCTTAGGTTTTCCCTCCCCTCTGCTAATAGGGTTCCATAACTTAATATTTGCATTCATTTAAAATCTACACTGGGGTGCTGATGTGAGCGTAACCTGGTTGCCATATTTATCATTTTCCTAATGGTGGGGGCTGATTTAGTGGAACTGGCTGGCTTAGTTGATGTCCCTTCCTGCTCTATGTATACATATAAACTTCTTAACATATAAACTCAGTCAAACAGGACACATCCACATAGAGGATGGTCACGTGTCAATCAAGGATTAACCTTTTTTTGGTCCTCTGACTTAATTGTGTGACTTGCAAAATGAATCTACAAGAATGTTCTTCCTTTGTCTGACCAAATTATCTCCCTTTTCCAAACTCATACACAGAGGAAAGATAATAGAAATACAAACCTGAATATAACCTCTATCAGCTATGATCTTCAGAGCCACACATTAAAGTTCCTATGCCATTTTAGAAAACAGACAAAACAGCACAAGTGCTCCTTGAAAGAGCAAGCACATGGAAGGAACTCTATATGTTTTAATGAATGGTTAATTAATAAGAGCTAAGTATGTGTTGAGCGCTTACTACGTGCCAGGCACTGGACCAAGTTAGGTTATGTGTAACGTAGCACACAGATGTGGAAAACCAAGACTCAGAGGAGACAAGTATAGTAATTGGCTGAGGTCATTCACACAAGTTGTAAGTAATGGACCTGGAATTTGAACCTGAAGGGAATGACTCAAGAGCCTACATTTACAGAGAAAAGAACAAGATCTCTGAAGCCAATGGTCAGGATTCAAGTCCAGCCCCTGCCACCTACTAGAGAATAACAGCAATACCCATATGAAAGAATTATTATACATAAAGCTCTTAGATTCATGCCTGCCACATAGTAAATGAGATAAATTTTAGCTATTATTAATTTCAATAGACTACCTCCCAAATGAATGAATGAATGTACCTGAGACTTTCCCAAAAGAAAAAAAGTAGGGCCTCACTGATTTTAAGAAATGTGTGATCAATCTGTATATGACCTTCATAGCTGAGTACCATCAGTGTGTATGCCTGACCCAAGATTCTTACGCAAGAGCTGCAGTAGTAGCTCTATCAGAGGGAGGGCCTGCGGCTGTAATGCAGGGAAGAAAACTCATCTGGCTGCTCTACATCTGTTCCAGCAATGTCTCACTTTTATAAATTCATGCAATTTTATGAAAAAGATAAGACAGGCGCCTTAATAAAACACATCAAGAGTGCTGCTTTTTTAATTTATAAGATTTAGTACAAGGGAATTTAGTATAGTTCCAACTTACAGCTCTACATTCTGAACTCAGTTTTCACTGAGGGCATGTGCAAATTTATTCATGTAATGAAAAATTACTTCAGCAAGCCATACATGTATTGTTCAACTCAATTGTGAAATTTATTTAGATGCATTGGTTTTTCACCAGATCCCCCACAAAATCTCAAGTTCTCTGATGGTAGGAACCTAGAAATTTATGTCATTGAGCTGAATTTTCTCCTTCTCCATTTTCACAGAAGTACTGAACTCTGTCCACGGATTACTTGTCTGTAATATCCTCTCAGCTCTGCTCCTTACTGAACAGGCAGCCAGATGACCTCATCACTGCATTTCCTTTGGAAACGCCATTGGTTTTTACATTCTTTTCTAAGCTACCAAACTAAAACACAAAATTATTTCAAAATTCCCTAAAAGCCTCAAACTAAGGCAAATATTTATGTAGTAAATTATGGTACACAAAAATAATATGCAGCCATTTAAAAAGGGACATGAAAATTACAAAAAATATAAACTATGTTAAAAAACACAAGCTGGAAAGATATCATGATTACAACTCTGTAAAACTATGCATGCATGCAGATTAATATATAAAAATGAAAACAGTGGTAGTATTAGAGCCAAGGAATTATAAGATTTTAAATATTTTCTATGCTTTTACTTTAGTATTGGTAATTATCTTTGATTTTAACAATAAGAAAAGACAACTTCAAACATAATGTCATTTATGGTTCTGGGCAGCTTCTGTGGAGGTACTTCCCATACAGTGGGCTTCTCTGCAGCCAAACAGGAACAATAAGTGTGTGCCTTTACCAAAAATGTCTTAGTGAGCCAGGCATGGTGGCTCACTCCTGTAATCCCAGCACTTTGGGAGACTGAGGCAGGTACATCACTTGAGGTAGGCGTTCAAGACCAGCCTGGCCAACATAATGAAACCCTGTCTCTACTAAAAATACAAAAAAAATCAGCTGGGCATGGTGGCACGTGCCTCTAGTCCTAGCTACTCAGGAGGCTAAGGCAGGAGAACTGCTTGAACCCAGGAGGCAGAGGTTGCAGTGAGCTGAGATTGTGTCACTGCCCTCTAATCTGGGTGATAGAGCAAGACTCCATCTCAAAAAAAAAAAAAAAAAGCCTTTTCTCTTCTAGCCAAGATGCTAGAAAGACATAACTCACCCTCCTACCTTAAACAACAGAAAACTGGACAAAACATAAAACAATGGTTGTCAGACATTGGAAAACAAGCAGTATAGAACTATGATCCCCCAAAAGGAGGAAAACAAAGAAAGTGAACCCTACGACTTCCCTACAGAGAAGTTCCCACACTACAGGGCTAGGAAAAGGAATCTAAACAGAAGCCAGAAGTCTTGCCAAATTGAAGATACAGAAATCAGCATTTGGAGAGACCAAGACCTCTAGAAGGTGTATGGCAGAAAGCTGGCAAGGACTAAGTTTGACAGACAGCTCTGAAGATCCCTTTCATCTCTTGCAGACACTGATCTCTGCACACAGAAGAAGAACCTACCCAAGGCTGAGGGCAAAGAACCACTGGAAAGGAGAAGAAACTGAGGAGCTCATGGCAAGCTCCACAACGAAAATAACCCTTGTTTCCACCACCAAGAGTGGAAAGATCTAGTAATACACAGAGTATTAGGCAGATTCTGTAAATGGGTACTGCATTTGTAATAGGACAAATTAGCCTACATTAAAGGTTGCTTTTGATCTGCCCTTAACCCTTAAAAGCAAACCCTGAAAAGATCCAACTGATTCCACATAACATAATCACATTCCAGAATGAACTCCAATGTTACATAAAAGAAATATAACAAAATCCAGCATCCACATCATAAAAATCACAACTTCTAAATCCTAATAATGAAAACAACCAGGCATGCAAAGAAACAAAAAAATACAAACCATAAGAAACCAAAAAAAAAATATGAATCATAAGCAGAGGGAAAATCAATCAGTAGAAACAGACCTAGACATGAGAAAGATGAGGGAAGGAGAAGACAAGGACATTAAACCAGCTGTTAGAAATATGTTCCATATATTCAGGAAGACTGAGGAAAATTTGAAAATGATGAGAAATGAAAGGGAAATATTAAAAACGAAACCCATGGCTAAGCACAGTGGCTACTGCCGATAATGTCAGCACTTTGGGAGTCTAAAGCAGAAGGACTGCTTGAGCCCATATATATACATATATGGTCCAAATTGAGAACAGAAGAGCGGGGACAAAAACTGTTTGAAGAAATCGTAGCCAAAACATTTCCACATTTGATGAAAACCAGAAATGTACAGATTCAAGAAGTTCTAAGAACCCCAAGCAAAATAAACATAAAGAAAACCATGCCAAGGTATGTGATAATCATACTGTTGAAAACCAATGATAAAAAGAAAATATTAAAAGCATTCAGAGGCCAGGCATGGTAGCTCACGCTTGTAATCCCAGCACTTTGGGAGGCCAAGGTGGGTGCATCACCTGAGGCCAGGAGTTCAAGAGTAGACTGACCAACATGGCAAAATCCTGTCTCTACTAAAAATACAAAAATTAGCCTGGTGTGGTGACGCTGTAGTCTTAGAAAAAAAGGAGACAGAAATTGGGGCAGAGTTTCTGCCCCTAGTGAAACTACTCTGGAGGCTGAGGCAGGAGAATCGCTTGAATCCGGGAGGCAGAGGTTACAGTGAGCCGAGATCACACCTCTAGCCTGGGCAACGAGTGAAACTCTGTCTCAAAATGAATGAATGAATGAAAATGAACCTATATAGTAGCCAAGTTTCGACATTTTATTGATGTGGTACAATGCTAACTTTAAGTAGACTGCAAAAGGTATATTCAATGCAATCTTAGAGTAACTGCTAAAAATATGCAAATATAGCCAAACAGCCAACTGATAAATTAAAATAGAATATTTAAATATATTCAAGTTATCCAAAAGAAAGCAGAAGAGCAGGTACAGAAGAGCCAAAAAAGTGGGGGGATGGACAAACAAAATAAGTGGTAGAACTGAAAGAAACTATATTGATTATTGCATTAAATATGTATGGATAATAGGCCAAGTAAGATACAGAGATTGTCAGACTGGATAACAAACAAGACCCAGCTCTAGGCTGTGTACAAGACAGACACTTTTAATATGCAAATATAGCTAACAGTAAAATATATAAGCCAGCCACAGTGGTATGTACCTGTAGTCCCAGCTATTCAGGAGGCTGAGGTAGAAGGATCAGTTAAGCCCAGGAGTTTAAGGATGTATTGCACTATGATCAAATCTGTGAATAGCCACTGTACTCAAGCTATATACCAAGAATTTACTTTGAAAAAAAAAAATAAGGTATCCATGCAGATACTAATAATAAAAAAGCCAGGGTGGCTATATTAAAGTAAGACAAAACAGAATTCAGAACAGGGAAGACCACCAGGGTGATAAAGAAAGATATTATATAATGATAAGTCAATTTGCCAA